CTTAATGCACAATCTTAAAACACAAATTAAAATAATTTTTATGATTCATATTCGTAAAATATAATAAAAGTATGAATATATATGAATAATAATAATGAATATATATTTATCTATCACATTTTCATATTTTAGAAAGAATAATACTGTGTTAATTGGGAGGAAAACTAGCATATCTTTGTGTATCAATTTGACACAAAAGCGATTTTATTATCATTTGTATCCACATTGGACAGATATTACCGCTTGGCTGTTAAGTGAAATTTTAATCTGTGTAGTGGTGATCTTAGTATTATTATGCCTTCTTTAGAAAGATTACAAAAATTAAGGTGTCATGAACCAGTTAGGTAAGATGAATTTTACAAAATGAAAGGAAGTTCTTACATATATAATATTTACATAGAGTCTTTAAAAATGTTTCAGAAAGAATTTCTCGTATATGAAGCTTAAAGAAAAATGTGCCAACGAGCCTGGAAGTTATATACTGCGCGAGAGTGAAACTGAGTATTGTGTTACATCGACGTTTACAACAAAAATGGAACTATATCTTTGCAAGAAGTAGTAGAGACTAAACCTGATAAATTTGTAATGACAAACAGTTCTCAAGTATATGAATCTTTGAGAATCTTTAATTTCTTCATTCCAAAATCCCAATGAATTGATATATTTTGGAAAATGCTTGACATTTTCGGAATATGATATATATTAATTAATCATATATGAATTGGATACATATATATTTTTTTTATAAGGAAAATATCGATATTTTAGTATTTGACTTAAATACATTTATATATAGAGAGAATTTATTTTCTAGACAAGTCTAAATTATTATTTTGCGCTTTGGAAAACATGATAAACGAAGTAGCGACAGATGAGGAAATAATTACTACTTTATTGCAAGGTGAACCGCGATCCGTACATGGAATGAATTGCAGGTAACAAAGCGATCTCAAAAAGCGACGAAGATTTGATCTGTTCCATGACAATGACGAATTTGCATCGAGCTATATTGCGAGTTGCTAAAGGCAAGAAGCTCGAGATTGATGATGAAGATACTGAAGACGGAGGAGAATAATTATACCAAAGAATTTTTAGAATTTTGGTCAGTAAATGGAGTCAACTTCAGTAACTTTAGTAGATAAATATCAGAAATCTTAGAAAGGTATTAAATTGTGAAAGTGTGAAAATACTACTTTTCAGATTATACATGGTATAACTGTAGCTCCGACTGGAATGTTACTCGAGCTAGTGAATTTGGGCCCGCTGGACAAGTACCTGTGCAATAGTAAATCTGTATTAACGGTTGATATGGTAGAAGCCACCGTTTGTCTGGCAACAGCTCTATGGCATTTGGTAAATTTCTCCAAATATTTGTGTTATATCCTAATGTTAATATCTTAAACATGCAAGAATATGTAGGAGGAGAATCATGGAAATATAATTCATGGAAATATAAGATGCCGTACGTTCTCGTACATTCACACACAGATAACAACTTCATTGTCAAGTTGGGTGATCCTGGTCTCTTCATTTATACTGAGGACGAGTAAGTAAAGAAATAAAAATCTTTTTAATTATATTCATTGTTTTCTTTTCAACTGTAATATAAGGATTCGCGATTTTTCGTTATTTTGCGCAGCATATATTGGATACCACCAGAATGTTACACGAATTTTACATCAGCAAAATATAGTCTTCAAGCAGATATATGGGCACTGGCGATGACCATTTGGGAGATATTTTCCAGAGGGGCTTCTCCATCCAAATATCACAAAACTCATACTGTTAAAATGGTATATTTATTAGAAACAAACATTTCATTACGTTATTTTTTTTACGCTGATAGAATTATTTTATTAGAAACTCTAACTATGATGATTAAATCATATTGTCTTGCAGTATATATATGCAGTATTATAAATGTGAAAACCGATTGCTTCCTCCTAAAGATTGTCCAAACGAAATCTATAAATTAATGTTGGAATGCTGGGGCAAAAATAATTCCATAGCAAGGAAACAACCTCAGACTATTATAGAGATATCAATCAGATTCTCTATGAAATATATAACGCTCATAGAACTTATACGTACGCTATATGCCCCAAGTTTTTCCGAGATGCCGATGGAAACATTGATGAGAATGGCAGTATTTATACAGAAGAAAGCAAATCATATAGTGAATCGCAAACGAGTTTGGTCACTGATTACACTAATATTACTTGGAACGATCATAGTTTGTCGATTTAAATCTTTTTAACAGCAAAAGTAATTGATATTATTTTTGACTAATTGATTGAATGCTATTTACGAAAAAAAAATATGATCAAATTATCTTTAGACATTAGAATAATGTAATACAAGTATTGTTTTACAAATAATAATATTTAATTGTGATAAGTGATATGAGAGTTAAGAATTAAATTAGTTTTTTTAAAAGCTACAGAGCAATTAGTCAGCTATCAGAATCAAGACAGCAACATAGATGAATTGTCATTTTATTTGCATTGGCTAAACAGCGAATTGTACAAGATGCCATTTGCGGATAATGGTAATGATTATTGTCCGAATTGCGAAGATAGCTCAGGCAAAACTAATAAAAGTAAAACCAATGACAAGGCTTGCAACAGTAAAGATAGCTCTCAAGCTGGCAGCGTACTTACGAGATAAATGAAAATTTGAATGTGATCTTGCAAGGACATATAGGCGAAGGCTTTTATGGTGAAGTATATAAGGATAGTATATATGCTCAGGAGACGCAATGGTAAGAAAGTTGATTCGGAGCAGGAAGTAGCCGTCAAAAGACTCAAGAGGACTAAGAAAATGTGCTTGACTTCGAAAGAGAAATTAAAATCATGGAGATAAGTCATTGTTTTAATAATCAATTATTATTTTTTCAGGAATTGTGTGTTTAAACTTTCTGTAAATTATATTCATTGTTCTCTTTTTAAATTTATTTTTAGAGACTCAATCATCTAAACATTGTAAAAATTTTGTGCTCAGTGGACCGAATTCTGGTGATGGAATTTATTCATTATGGTTCATTGTTGTTATCTAAATTCGCATCGGTACAGTCTTGCATATAAAACACTGTTAGGCTTCGCTCTGGACATCGTTACGGATATGGAATATCTCGAAGTATGAACATTGTTCACCGAGATTTAGCAGCGAGAAATATCCTAGTAGCGAACGAAGGTCAAGTGAAAATGAGTGACTTCGGTCTTGCGCAAGTGATAGCTGCGAGTGATTATTATGTATTTAAAACTCTTCGTAATATTCCAATTAAATGGTAAGATAGCATAATAATTATAGATAGCATAATGATTAAAAATATGTTCTTTTTTCTCAATATTTTAACAATAATAGAATAAAATAACGCTTCACGTTTGAAAATATATATTACTTATATATTATTATATATTATATAATATATATTATTCTATATTATATATTATTATATAATATAATATTTTAT